CAGTAATTTTGTCACAGACCACAGCACTAGTGCATGTATTACTTTAGACATGCTCTAAGAACAAAACAAAAATTACTGCAAAAATACATGTCACCAATGTGGAACACATTCAGATTTGTATAAAAGTACTGAACTAATATCCCAAAAAGAGGTATATGTAAACAGTACATAAGGAAGAAATAGTTTTAATATGAAACAATCATTTAAGTCACATACATCATGATAAGAAGCAGGACTTTCTTTTATAAAAGATAACATTTTAACTAACAAGCAACATCATCTATATTATCTACAGAATAAGAAAGGTACCAATATTTAGAGTAAGTTTTAATATAATTGCAAGTAAATGTATTATTGATAAAATATGACAAAGATGAATCTTATCCATTGGATTTCATTTAAAGTTTTTAATAAGCACAGGCAGTTTGTGATGTGTTAATGCCTGGCACACACATGGCCATTTTCTTCCCTTCATTTCCCTTTAACCACTTGTCTTGGAAGATGTTATTGTTATCCCTAGCCTGCTCACTCCAGAGATGCCTGCAAACCTCTCTCTACCAAGAGCTCGAAAACGCAGTTGTGACTTTTATACTGCTCTACTGGATAAATGAAAAAGAAAGGGAAAGTTTCTCAGATTTGAAAATGAGGAAATCTTTTGAGTTCAGAATTAGAGGACAGCAAGTTGTGAAAAGGCAAAACAACCTAAAGAAATTAGAAATAGTCTTAAGACAATACCAGTTAATTTGCTAAACATACTGTTTTCCCTGATGCCTGAAATGTGGTCATACAGTCTAAAATGGTAATATTAAAGATTCACTTTGAAGATTTGTTTTTTTAAAAAATTAAGTCACTTTCTCCATTATCTTCACTCATATGAGCAGAAAAATGCTTTTCTCTTAAATCTAGCCAACAGATAACCACACAAACATAATTTCTGATTAGAGGAAAAATGGGAAAATTTGACAGACAGAGCATCCAGGAGGGGGAAAGACAGGCTTGTTTGTGCAGCATTACACCAGAGAGTTTAAAACTGTAAAAGAGCCACTGGGAAACAACTCACGGGACAGAACTTAACCTTCCTCAACACAGAAAAAAGTAAAGATCTCTGTTTTTTTTTCTCTTACATTGACTGGTTTCCTTAAGAAAACTGAAATCTCAGTATAACAGCAGTTAACTACATTATGGTTTAAATACACCTTTATGAGCTTCCCTAGGAATCTAATCATTTTATATAGAGTTCCAAGCCACTATTTACAAATGAACTTTGGGAGCCTGGATGCTTTTCAACTTTTTTAATTAAAAAAAAAAAGTCTAAAATAGCACAAATGCTCATGCATATGAAAACTCTGTACATTGCAAAAGAAATCCAAATACTGTCTAACTCCCTTTTAAAAAATCATTGCTTATGTTTTCTTACTATTAAATACAATTAGTATGCTGGATAATAAATACTAGCATTCTAATTTGTTCAAGACACAAAAGTTTGAAAGCATGTTAGATGAAAACTCTTGGTACTGATTTTATGTGGATGATTAAAGTCAGCAGATTTCATGGTGACTTTATTAAAGAGTTTTTTTCTGCCACTAAGCAGAACTGGGAGTCTGGGCGGGGGGGAACCTACCAAAAAACCTGATTTACACTGTGCTTATCTATGAAGACTAAGAACTAGTACAAGAAAATCTTCAGTTTCATGTATATAACCTTCTAATTTGGGTAACAAGAATCATAATAGCAGTACTCTAAAGCATTTTACTCAAAAGGAAATCACTGATCACAAATCTAATTCTAAGCACTCTATCTGAAGAACAATTAATTTTCTATTATAAACTAAGCTGTTTCAGTATTAGCGTGTCCAGTAACATCTAGAAGAAGTTGACCAGGAATCATGAATGAGCAAAGCAAGTCCTAAGAAAGAAACTGATGCTTGAAAACTTTTCATTAGTAACTTGGCATTGGTGAGTGAGCCTAGATGCTAATATTTAGCCATTTTGAACTTTAGTGAAACTTGAGAATGTAGGAGAAATTCTAATCCTACTTGGTTGTGTGTCCTTGTATATGTGTGCATGAGATGAGGCTTTTCAGGGAAGGAAAGGGATAATACCTCGAAAGATACAATTCCACCACCTATATCCATCACTGCATATTTCTGTAGTTGAGAGAAGCTCAACACTTTTCCTAAGAAAATAGTATCAATTTGTTTAATGGACTTTTTGTGACAAATTGGACAAATTTTCTGGCCATTCTCATAATTCATCATTTTTCCTACCCCAAAGCACCTACCATCTATATAATTTTAGAGTGTTGTAGAGACAAATATAGAATTAGTAAAAAATTAATTCAAACACATGAAAATATTCATCAGGAATGATTAGTTTGGTTGATTTATGTCAGAATCAATCATAGGTTTTCCTTTAGAACCATTAGATTCTTAGAGTAAGGTGTTTTGAAAACCTAAACACTTGAATAAAAATTTATTTGTTTATATGGTTTTTTAAAAACCACTTAATGAAAGAAATACCTTATAAATATTTTAGATTAGCCTGGGAGAGGTTATTTCATTTTTACAAAAACAGGTAACTACTTAAAGTGTAAGCAACGAAGGTTTTAAGAAACTGCATACTCAATTTTAGCAATGAGGGGCTCAGTGGTAGAGCACTAGCCTAGCGCCTAAATAAAGTAAAGGTATTGTGTCCATCTACAACTAAAAAAATATTTTTAAAAAAATTTAGTAATGAGCACAACTCAAGTACACACTGCCACATCAAGTGTTAAATCCTGAGGGCATTGGAAGATTCCATTAAAAATATCTATCTAGTTCAACTCAGTCAAAAAAAGTCATGATTTGATGCTAGAAGTGGTGATATAGCATGTACTCTATCATTTCTTAAAAATCATTACTCAAGAAAATTTCAGGAAAAACAAAACTAGGTCCTTCAATGTTTAGAAAAGTATCTCTCTTTAACAAAATTACAAAGTAAGCAAAATGGAATCTTCAGGTATGTACTGAACATCATCAAAATGCCAAAGTCAGCCCAAAACAATGCATTTTGACCTGCTTCAATTGGTAAAGTTTTCACACAAAAGAACACCTAGTATTAGAGTTTATCTCATTTCATTTCCTAAAATTGTGAAGATATGCAACTCTGAAAATATTTTGTACTCACCTCTAACTAGTTGAGGGTAGAAGGAGAAAACTATTACCTGTACCATATGAAATTGCTGTTTTGTGGGTCAAAATTAAAACACTATTTTTAAAAGTAAGTTTTATTCCATTAAGATATGTATCAGAAGCATTAGCATTAGTTTTCTCCATTTTTATAGAATTCATCATTTTCTTAGGATATATATATTGTTCAAATACTCTAGTTACTGATTCTCAGTTGGGGAACATGTTGTTTCTTAGAAAAAGCTCCAAATGATGAAAAAGATGGTAATCCATTGAAGGTCCAGGAACTATGATAGATAATGACAAAATTTCACCACCCAAGTCAATTAACTTTGCTTTAGTGACTTGCGACATGTAAAGTCCTGTCATGTAGAAATGAGGGTTTATGTTTGTTAACCAAAGGATGTTGTTAAATCGAAATTTTCATACATAATTCAGATTTCTTGGCAACATGCTGCTGCTGTCATTGCTTCCCCAGGTTCAAATTGTAGTAATTATCTCCTTCAAGGATCACCATTGTCTTCCAAACTTTTTTGGTTGCAATGATAAAGGTGGTGAATTATTAGAGTTTCATCAACATTCAATGATTGTATAAATTACTATCAATTGTCATACTGTATCTTTTTATTTATTTGGTCACCAGTTATGATCTGCTCTCAACATGTTTTGTTTTCTATTTGAGTCTGAGTGAGCATACCTTCAACTGTAACTGTTCTTTCTCTCTCTAGAGTGTAATCTCAGTTCCATTTTTACACATCACCCAGTCACAGCAAAAACTCCTTAGCCTTCAGCAAGGCCTCAAATTACTGATTGTTTGTAAGTTAGCTTTCACCTAAGCTCTTAATTGGTCTTTATTTAAATGGATTTTGATCTTCCCTGAGGTACATATTGGAAATTCAGATCCCCAGAACAAGAATTTTCAAACTAAGTAGTTAGTTCTTTTGCCAGCGGAGTCCTCTAAAGCCAAACCGGTGTTTCTACCTTCTTCATTTGCAATATGTCCAAGTTTAAAATCATAAAAAAGAAAGTGTTCACAATTCTTCGGAGGACACCATATTATTTATTTCTCTGGACAACAATAACAAAACAACTCAATAACCAAAGAAAATTAAAACCAAAATACTATCATAATTCTAAATAGTAATACTGGAAACATACTTTATGACAACTTTACTAAGTGCAGTCAATTTTCAACTGATCTAATATTAGCAATTTCATGTGATACAATCCACAAGTTAATAAACAAATGCTGAGAATCTATATGCTAAAATCTGTCTCTGTCTCATATCTGTATACATATCCTGGAAAGACTAATTTTAAAGTATGAAATTCACTTATTTCAAAGACCCTAGTAGAGGAGGAATCTGGTGTCATACTCTTCTTATTTAAAATAAATCCATTAAAATGTATGCTTTCCCCCATGTTATACCTCCACATATTATGTTTGGAAATATTTAAATGGATCCTTCAGAAACTTTTTAATTAAATGTTTAATGTGATACAGCCAAAATTCACCACTGAAATACACATTTTAAAAGTTAAAACTTGCCTAGATTTGTTATATTATTTTGAAGCTTCAAGAGGCTTTTATGTTTAGGATAAATAACTACTAACATTTATTTGTTTCTAAAGTACCCCACATACATTATCCTCATTTAAGAGAGCAAACAAAGACAATACAAAGTTGCACTAGTAATGAAGTGAAATATTAATAAAAACTAAAAGGTAAATGTTTTCTGTGTGTATTTAAAAAATAACATAAAACATTAAAATCCTGTGTCACCAAACCTCTGTAATACAGAGGGGAAAACCCCACTTTAGTTAATGCTTGTGATTAAGCATCACTGCCCACTGCAGGTGGACCAAAAGTTTCTCTAGTGCGCATTAATTGGACATCTTTATCAGCCATACAGGTATCACAGCCCCATACTGCTGATGCTTCTGCTGTTAGTAGGCCATAAGCTGTTTCAGTCATTCCAGTACAGATCCGGTGAAACCATTTCTGACAAGAGGCCTCACATAAGATGGCATCCTGATCATCATTCACTTCATTTGTACAAATTCCACAAGGATACACTGGGTCAGAAGACGAATGGCCATGACGGCTTGGGTGGAGAGATGATTTATTGCTTTTTTCAGTGGTGCAGGCATCTGTTGCACCTCTAGGTTGTCGTGGCTTGTTCTGTGTCCCATTTGCATGGCTGTTGTTTGTAGCTTCAGTGCTACTTGAACGACTGTTCTCTTGATTTACTGCATTGTTTCGATTAACATTTTTTAATTCAATATTGCTCTGATTCACTGTATCCTCCATATTTAAGTGAGGTGGATGAGCAGATGAATTTTGATTAGTGTTTTTAGTTGCTCCTTGACTAAAGTCTTGTTTCGGAGGTGGTGCTTTTGCTTGACCAAAAGTGTTTGGAGGTGGAATAAAAGAATGATTAGATTCTAATGGAGAAGTAAAACTTGAATTATTTCCAGGGACAAAATTAGATGCCAAATCAGGGTTAGATACTTGGCTAGTATTCTGTGGAGGAATCTGATTAAAGTTTTCAGCAGGATTTTGTCTAAAATGTTGATTAGGCATGTTAATGTTCTGATTTAGTACATTATTATAAGATGGATTTCCAAAACTTGAATTATCATGTGGCCCAAAGTTAAAAGCGTGAGGTCGATTAAAACCCATGCCCAAAGGATTCTGAGGAAATGGGTGTGGCTGATTCCTGAGCGAATAAGGTCCACAATATGGGGAAGACATTCTTGGGGGAACGTGAGGTGGCATTCTGAATGTGCTATAGCCTCCAAAGCCAGGATAACCAGGGCCAAGATATGGATTTGATGAAGGTAGTGGTTTATAGGAAATAGTATTATAGTTGTCATCAAATGGATTAGCAGCCACTAGATGGTCAGAGTTTGGATTCGGTGGTGGAGCATACTCAGATAATGGAGGAAAAGAAGGTCCCTGAAAAGAAAATGTAAAGTTCATGTTCTTAACTAAAGAAGTCATTACAATTTTCCTGTTATCTTAATACCTATGAATTTGGTTTTAGTCAAGTTTCTCTTACGGTGTTATAAAAATTTATTTTCTTCACTTGACCTTTCAATTACAATTAATTTTAACATATAATTATGCTTAATGATAAAAATAGTCATGTTTCATTTAGGAAAGGAAATAAGTATGCTTTTCTGAGCTCAAATCCATTGTTATTTCAAATCTCAAGTATTTAACCTTCAAAAGAAGTTTCATTATCATAATTTTCATTTAGTATGTTTTCCTGTAACTAAACTCTTTTACTTAAAACACTAAAGCCAAACTACCTTTTAGATCCCTCCAACCCAAAATACCTTTTAGATCCTTCAAAAATCATAAAATTAAATAACAATAAATAGGATCTAATTTTTTTCCTCTTAGCTTAACTTCAGAGAGATACAATTAAAGCATTACCAAAACACTAAGCTCTAGACTTCACACTGGAAAAATAAATTGCCAGATTTAATCACATTGCAAGTTTATCAGATAGTGGCCAAAATGGAAAGGCAAAGTTATTTGTACAAATATCATACTTATTTATAGCCTTTATTATCAAAAGAGTGCTTCAAACTTAAAGAATAAAGCCATAAAAGCCTGTGTATATAATCATTTATTACAACCACAAGTTTCAATAATGGATGCCTCCATCATAATTGCTTTGTGAAAAATGCACATAACACTGAATTACTATAACAACTTAATATTACTTCAGGTTAAATTTGTTTGTACATATTTTTTAAATCTTGTAATAGAACGCAGGCACTTTTGCCATTAAAAAATCTTTAAGTAAGATTTAAGAACAAGTATTTTAATTTGTCTGCCTATACTTACCTTGAACTATTTACTCTAGGCCTATAATCCAAAGTTAGTCATTGATTGAGGAATAAAAAACAAACAAAAAATCACTGAGGAATTCACTATTAGGTTCTGGATAAAGATAGAAAACAATGTCCATTATCAAATTTAAGATTTGCTTTATTAGCCTGATCATACCAATAAGGGAAAACTATTACTAAAGAAAATGTCAATTTACCTGTGTATTTGCCTTTCGTTTTTTCTTATCTGGGCTTCCTAGTTGCACACCTGGTCCTCCTAACCCATCCAGTCCACTATCACCACCTAAAAAAAAAAAAATTCCCAATAATATTTCCACTTGTAAATGAAATAATTTTTATCTCTTATAGCAATATCTATTATATTTAATCTATTAATATGCTTTTTATTTTCATTAGATGAAAGCAATATTCAGCTTTTAGTATCTTTGGTCTTTAGAAAGTCTTTTCCATAGTTTCATACAGAAACAGTCATTCTTCTCTGCTTCCATATTTGTTATTGGGGTTTATATTTTGTTCCTAGCACCTCATTCTGTTTCCTGGCTGTCATGAACTGAGCAGTTTTCCTCTGCCATCTTTCAGCCATGATGTTCTGCCTCACCTCAGGTCCAAAGCAATGGAACTGGCTGACCATGGGATGAACCTGTTAAATAGTGAGCCTTTACAATTTAACATTTCCTCCTCTAAGTTATTCTTGTCTCATATTAGTTACAGTAATGCAAAGCTGACTAAAACATTAGTTTGTTTCCAAAGATAATTGGTATTTAGATCTAGACCAGAAGATGGTTTCTTCTTCCATCAAGGGACATAATATTTCTTGTTGCTTTTCTTTAGCACTTGTTTTAATTTTCTATTGTATAAATTATCACACATTTGGGTACTTAAAACAATGTCCATTTGTGGGTAGATGTGTAGTTCAGGGTAGAATGTATCCTTAGCATGTGAGGCCCTGGGTTCAATACCCAGAATAAACAAACAAACAAAAAAGCCCATTTAAACAGAAGTGGAGAAAATACTTTCTAACTCATTCATTCATTCATTCTATTAGGCCAGTATTACCTTAATACCAAAGACAGATAAGAAGATAGTTTAAGATGGTGGATTAGAAACAACCAACACTCAACTGCTTATCTACAACTTGGAATCAAAACAACTAGAAAGCTGCTACTCTTCCAGGTTAGTGACTGTGGGAAAAAGCTTGAGTTCAATAGTGAACAGAGGCTTGGAGAAGCTCAGATACTCTGGATAGTGGAAGAGAGAATGAGAAAGAGTGCCCCAACACTGAGTATATGGCAGCAGGTAGGGAGAGTGGAGAAATAAGGGAGACCCACTACACACAAGCAAAGAAATTGGCACAATCAGAAGGGCATTGTGAACCCTGAACACAACTGACCTAAGATCTGCCTAACAGGCTGGGGCTGGAGAAGTTCTCTGCACCTGACAACCAAAATGTTGGTTTTCATCTTGGAAGGCTAGCTTGCTATTCTGGGAAACAAAAAAAACAAAAATTTTCCTATTTCTTAGAACCTGCGGCAAACATTACTACACTGTCTCAGTGAGCAAGTTTATTTATTTATTTTTTTTTGTAGGACGTCTTATTTTTATTAGCATAAGATCTCTGACATCATGTTCAGAGGTGTTAGGGTAGGAAAGAACAAGAGGAACCCTAAAGTCAGGGGGAAAATGAAGAAGAAACAGTTAGAGAAATAGGGACAAAGAACAATTCAGTGGTTTTATCTTGGAAGTCAAAGTCAGAGGGAAATCTAAAGTTTTTTTTTTCCCCAGTATTAAAATTCTTTTTTTTTTAAGAGAGAGAGAGAGAGAGAGAGAATTTTTAAATATTTATTGTTTAGTTTTTCGGCAGACACAACATCTTTATTTGTATGCGGTGCTGAGGATCGAACCCAGCGCCGCGCGCATGCCAGGCAAGCACGCTACCGCTTGAGCCACATCCCCAGCCCAAAATTCTTTTTTTTAAAGCAAAAGTTTGCTTGCTTGCTTGCTTGCTTATTTATTTATTTATTTATTTATTCTTTTTAGTTATACATGACAATAGAATATATTTTGACATATTCTTGAGGTTGTACATGATGTAGAGTTACATTGATCATATATTCATATGTGAACATAGGAAAGTTATGTCCAATGCAGTCTACTGTCTTTCCCAATCCCATCTCCTCCTCCTTTTCCCCCATTCCCCACTACCCAATTCAGTGAACCTCCACTCCTCCCTATCCACCAATTATTGTGAGTCAGCATCCGCATATCAGAGAGAACTTTTGGCCTTTGGTGTTTGGGGTTTGTCTTATTTCACATAGAATGATAGCCTCCAGTACCATCCATTTACTGGCAAATGCTGTAATTTCATTCTTCTTTATGGCTGAGTAATACTCCATTGTATATATGTACCACTCAGTGGGCATTTTTTTTTAAGAGAGAGAGAGAGAGAGAATTTTTTTTTAATATTTATTTTTTAGTTTTCGGCGGACACAACATCTTTATTTGTATGTGGTGCTGAGGATCGAACCCGGGTCACACGCATGCCAGGCAAGCGTGCTACCGCTTGAGCCACATCCCCAGCCCTCAGTGGGCATTTAACTTGAGACCCAGTTTGGCCTCAGGGGAATACCACTGAAATAAACCTCTAAAAACCCTATGCAATAGGAAACAGGTCATAGAAACTAGAGCACAATACACTTCCCACTTAATACTATTAGCTCAGATGGCCAGCTGAGGAAGTTCAGGGGACCAAGCTGTTACGGATAATTATGTAAGTGAGCTGGATCCTGGAAGACCAGAATCATGGGTAGTGGACTACACAGAATCCACCATGCCCCTATGCCCAATGAAGATAGTTACCTTGTCTTCCAAATGGGCTTCACAACGGGTTCTGGAGACCCAGATGTGCTGCCTGACCCTTGCAGTGTGATAAGCTAATCTTATTGGAGAAAATTTCTGCCAGGGGACTCTGCCTTCCATGCTAGTTTATACTGGTGAGCAGGACAGCTAAGAACTATTTCAAATGCTTCAGGTCACAAATCACTCCTGCTGGTTGCCTGGCAAGCAAAGCAAAAGTAAGAAGGAAGGGGTGAATAACCCTCAACCTTTTCTCTTTCCAGGGACACATGGCCTAAGAATAATCAGAAAAAAGTGCTGATTGGAAATAGGTAGCAAACATCCACTACTTTTGCCTGCATGATCAACAACCTCAGCAAATAATGTTTTTGTTTTTAATTTTAGTACTGGGGATTGAATCCAGGGCCTCATAAAGTGCTCTACCACTGAACTACATCCCAGTCCCTTTTATTTTCTTTTGAAATAAGATCTCATTAAGTTATCAAGGCTGGCCTCAAACTTGTGATCCTCCTGTCTCACCTTCCCAAGTAGCTGGAATTATTGGGGGGCTGGGGGGTACCACTTTGTCAGGCTAACATTTTCTTTTTTTTACTATTTGATTCATGTGTGTGTGTAAATTTTTTTTTCTTCAATTTCTCTCTCCTTCTTCTTGTTAAGTTGCTGAGGCTGGCCTCAAACTTGTAATCTTCCTGCCTCAGCCTCCAAAGTCTCTGGAATTATAGGCATCTGTAACCATGCCTGGCTCAAATTTTTTTCTTCTCTTTTTGGTTTTCTTTATTTTTTTAACTATTGATTTCATTTTATATTTTCTCCTAGTTTTATTCTTTTCTCTTTTTAAATTTTCTATTTTTTTAAATTTTCCTGTCCCCTTTTATCTGTCTTAATTTTCTATCTTTTTTAAACTTTTCAATTTATTGTTTATTATTTTACCTCCATAATTTCTGTTGTTTGCAATGTGTACATCATAGTCTTTGCTTGGTTTTTACTTTCTGTACCTGCTCTGCTTCTATTTGTTGTTGTTATTGGTTTTTTTTTTTTTTTTCTTCTTTCTACATGGTGCCAGGGATCAAGTCTGACACTTTGAGCATAGTGGATAGATGCTCTACTGCTAAGAGACACTTCCAGCCCAGCTAAGAGAAATTGCATTTTACTTTACCCAAAACCCAGCTCTACTCAAACATTGCTGGATACTTCAGCTTAAAGAACGAAAGAGACAAAGTCCCCAGCTGAAGACTTGGCCCCAGGTAGGCATGGCTGGGAGAAACTTTAAAACCCGTTCTTGAAATTCACCACCAAAGCAACAGAGAGAAATAACACAAAAATTGTAGAATACTGCACCTATCAAAGACCTTAGCATAGGTTGCTCCCATACCTTTTCAGAACACGTTAAAAACTAGAGAGCTGGGGATATAATCAGTTGGTAGAGTGTTTGCCTTGCACGCACAAGGCCCTGGTTTCAATCCCCAGCATCACCCATCCCCCCACAAAAAAGTAAAAAACTAAAGGGGTGACCACAGAATGCCTACCTAATATATTCCAGAGGGGTCCCATTTTTCTGAGGCCTAAAGAAGAAGTGGAACCCTAAGGCTCTCACACTGCACATGTGTGTCAAATCCCACTAATCACAGCCATACTATAAAATCTGGTTGGAATTAAACTCAACACTTCACAACACTCTGATATCGCAGGACACGTTATCAAGAGAAGGCTGTTCTCTAAGAAGGCCCTCACAGAAATCAACATGGGACACAAGAAGTGAACAAACAAAGCAGCATGACTCATCTAAAAGTTCACAATATTCTAGTAAATGATTCCTGATACTGAAGTTGATGAAATGCCAGACCAAAAATTCAAAAGAATGATGTTAAAAATGATCCATGAATTCAAAGAGGATACAAATAAACAGCTGAATGAATTAAGAAAGACAATGCAGCATATGAAAGCAATTCAATAAAGAGAAATTCTGGAAAAGAACCAAACATAAACTTTGCATATAAAAAACTCAGAAAATCAAACACAGGGCTGGGGTTGTGGCTCAGTGGTAGAACACTTGCCTAGCATGTGTGAGACACTGGGTTCGAACCTCAGCACCACATAAAAAAGTAAATAAATAAAGGGATTGTGTCCATATACAACTAAAAATATATATATTTTTAAATCAAACACAAAACTCAGTTGAAAACTTTACTAATAGATTAGATCAGGTAGAATAAAGAATAGCACAGCTTGAAGACAAGGCTGATGAATTAATCACATTCAGATAGTAATAAAATAAGAAGGATCAGAACATACAATTTTATGAGAATGACATTATGTAGGGCATAGTTGATACATGCCTATAATCACAGTGATTTAGGAGGCTGAGGCAGAAAGATCACAAATTTGAGGCTAGCCTCAACAACTTAGTAACCCTGTCCCACAAGAAAAAAT